TCACACGATGGACGGAAGCTCAGCCCATTTTTATCTGAAACGAGGGAATAGGTCTCGTGGACTGTGTCAATCTCAACGTCGTATAAAAGCCAAACGGCTGCAGTACGGAGCGATTCAACCATCCTCTTCTGATGAGTTTAACCTTCAAATCTCGTCTTCATACAATTTCTTCCCAACAATCCATAGATTGTTGTGCATGATTTTGTATGATTGAATAGTTTGTTCGGGTGTAAAATTCTCAATTTGCATGTCTAGTCTTTAGCATGTCGTGTAAGCTTTCATCGAGCAGCATAGTTAGGTCCATCTTTAGTACACAATACGTCGTTCTGTCCTGCAATATACATTCCAAAGTCTCGGTACATTGTTTTTTGTCCATTATCGCTGTCGCTCCTCCTTTGTCCGCCTGAAGGACCAATTGTTCATTCCCTTTTGGGATTCTGCGTATCCCCGCGAATCTGTTCTCTTATTTTGGTTCTTGATGTGCCAAGATATGTGGAATTAGTTCCATATCTATTTCCCATTTTATCTGATCAGGAAACTTTTCAGTGTTATTGATAACTTCCACCAAGATGTTTCCTAGACGACTTATTTCCTTTTAAAGTGAATAGTTGAGTCCTTTCTTTAGGATCATGGCGGTTTTGGGATCAAGAGGAAGTGACGATAAATTCACTATTTTCTTTAAATCGTCATACCGATCAGTAGGCGTTGTCCCCTTGGAAACCACTTCATTTGGGCACATTGGTTTTAACTTACGCTGTCTTATAATCTCAAACTCACTTAATTTATTGCCGTGTCGTCCTACGTGATTTCATGTAGGTCATGTTCTGGAATTTTTGGAAGTCTTTCAGAGTCAGGATCCTGGCCAGATCACGTCGGAGTTTTGACTTAATATCCTCTCCATGTTACAAGTTTCCCTTGACTTCTGGATAGAGGCCTAGGATAGAATCTCATTAACCTTTTTCGAATGATAAAGTCTCTTACGGTCACATAATTCAGGAGTTATATTTTACCATTTACAGCAGATTAAAAAGGTCAACTGACACGACTAGCTTCGAAACCCAGTTTTTATACATACCTAAGATTGGCTTACAATTGTCTTCATTGTCCTTCTGTACTCAGAGCATTGTCTACCGTGGTTTATATTCGTATGAGAGTAGGATTTCGAGACTACCTGAAATCAGTGTAAGGAGATGTATTCATTCTATTTCGTGTAAGGGT